GCCGTCCCTATTCTTGTGTCTCTGTTATTTCTTTTCTCTTTTGCCCTACCCAGGTACGTGGGGAGTTTCTTGCCTTTTGGGAGGTCTGAGGCCTTCTGCCATCATTCAGTAGGTGTTCTGTAGGAGTTGTTCCACATGTAGATGTATTTCTGGTGTATCTGTGGGGAGGAAGGTGACCTCCACGTCTTACTCTTCCGCCATCTTCCCGATCCCCCCCCATAATTCCTTCAGTCACTTTTACAAGTTTTCTTTATTGTGGTAAAAAATACATAATGTAAAATTTATTATCTTAACCATTTCTCAGTGTATAGTTCAGTAATGCTGCATTCACATTGTTGTACAACCAATTTCCAGAACTTTTTCATCTTGCAAAACTGAAACTCTATATCCATTAATCAATTCCCGTTTTCATCTCCCCCAGCCCCTGGCAGCCACTGTTTCACTTTCTGTCTCTATGAATCTGACTACTCTAGATACTTCATATATGTGGAATCATGCAGTATTTGTCCTTTTGTGACTGGCTTCTTCCACTAAACGTGATGTTTTTAAGGTTTGTCCATATTGTAGCATGTGTCAGAATTTCCTTTTTTTTAAAATAAATTTTTATTGGCATATAGTTTCTTTAGAATGTTGTGTTAGGTTCTGCTGTACAGCAAAGTGAATCAGCTATACGTATACCTGTATCCCCTCTTTTTTGGGTTTCCTTCCCAGTTAGGGCACCACAGAGCATTGAGTAGAGTTCCTTCGGCTATACAATAGGTTCTCATTAGTTATCTATTAGAATTTCCTACCTATTTAAGGCTGAATAATATCCCATTGTATGTATACACCACATTTTGTTTATTCATTCATCTGTTGATGGACATTTGGGTTGCTTCCACCTCTTGGTTATCGTGAATAGCATTGCTATGAACATGGATGTGCAAGTATCTTTTCTAGATCCTGTTTTCAGTTCTTTTGCATAACTACCCAGAAGTGGAATTGCTGGATCATATGGTAATTCTATTTTTAATTTTTTGAGGAACCACCCTACTGTTTCCATAGTGGCTGCACCATTTTATATCCCACCAGCATCACTCAAGCGTTCTAATTTCTCCACATTCTGTTCAACGCTTGTTATTTTCTGGGAGATAAAACACACACACACACACACACACACACACACGTGCCATTCTCACAGATGTGAGGTGATACCTCATTGTGGTTTTGATTGCATTTCCCTGATGATTAATGATGTTGAGCACCTTTTCATATGCTGTTGGTCATTTGTATGTCTTTTTAGGAGAAATGTCCATTTAAGTCCTTTGCCCATTTTTTAATTGGGTTTTTTAGTTGTTGTTGAGTTGGAGTTCTTTCTATCTTTTCAGTTACTTTTTGAGAGTAAAAAGTCCTCTAGGCACCTTTAGTAACATCTATCTCATATTAGTAATTAATATGCTGCCTCCAGTGTCATAATCAAACTCCAAACAGTATTTCAAACTAAGTGTCTCCCTCCTAATTTGGCCTGCTTTGGGCTGAAATGCCTAAAGTGGGGATGCAGGCATGGTCGACTTCTGCCCTTCCTCCTGGCCCAGAAACAGGCTTCATAGCTAGAGCAAAGGAAGGGAGAGAGGTAAGGCAGCAACGTTCACTGCTCTTGGGGGATGTTCAGTGCTGATTCTTCTGTGTGTTCCTCAGACCCCTCATGTGCCACCTGGGCTCTTTCCCCTCCTGCAATTCCCTTACTTCAGTGGTGCCTCCTCCAGGCAGCCCTGGGTCCCTGGTTCCCCTCCAGACTGCCCCTCTCTCCCCCATCCACATGGCTAGCACCTGAACCTCAAGCATCACTCAATAACAGATGTCTTCCCAGCACAAATGCCTCTTCTCCAGGCCCCTGGCAGCCACCGTCCTTGCCTTTGGACTTTTCCTGGTGTAAATAGAACCTCAAGTCTGTGCCCCACAGACTCCAGGAGTTTATCTGAGTGGTCTCATTAGAGATCCTCTCACTTGGCTTAGCCCCCTTTCCTCTGCTGGGGAGGGGACGTGGGAACACACCATGCTCCAACAATGTTTTTCAAAGAAATTCTCTACTCTGGCTGCTTCTGCCTCAGCTCTGATTTTCCTAGGACCTTGAGGTGGCTGTTTTGGTCACCTCATTGGCTAGTTCTGAGTAGGTGATCAAGCACATCACTTCAGAACACGGGAGTAAGTGCCATTTATTATTTGTTACGACGTTTTGGGGCATCCCTGGCTGAAACTCAGGCATGAGTCCCATTTTAACATCCTGTTTTCTGTTTATTGATCCCCAACTACAATCCAGACCTGTTAGGCCCTTAATACATATTATGTTACAGCCTTTCAAAGAGTCTGGTCCATAACTCCAGGATGTACTATTTAAACTACAGATCTAAGAAGATAAAAATCTGGCTAGAGATTTATCTTTTCAAATTATTTTAGTCAACTGTAAGTTTAGGCAATTATGCTTTAAAGGTATTTCGACCCTTGTGATAAACCCAGTCAAAGTTGTTGGCAGGAAAGTGGCCTGTTGCTTGAATGACCTTCCCAGGCAAGTTCAGGTGAGACTCTTTTACATAACTGCTTTAAATGGAAATCACTTACATCTGGGGAATTTGGTTTTTAGCCATTTTACACACAGGTGTTACACAGCCCTTGGGTAAAAAGGTGAAACTCGAAGCTTCTCAGTTAAGTGGAATGCTCGAAGTGATAAATATTTTTTGATTTTCTGGTTAACTAGTCAAAAACTCCTTGCAGTTTCAGTTTTAGTTTTTTAAAAAAGTACTTCTGAAATGTGTCAGCTTTCTTTCCTATGTTAGATCATAACTGAATCCTTATTTGGTTAGGAATATTACAATTCGCAAGGCTCATTATATGAATTCTTTGTACCATTATAGATCTAAGAGTTGTAGAAAATTAAGGATCTGCCTGAATTTTTGTGCTTGAATTCCCAATTCGAACTTATTTTGGTTCTTTCTAACGTTCTAACTTATTTTGGTTTCTTTCTAACGTTCACTTAACTGAAAGCCCTGTTTGGTAAGGTCTGGATCAAAGTGTAGACTTCGGTTTGGTTTCAAAGAACAGGACTAGAATGGGCCCTTTCCCTTGGACATAGTAAAGGATTCAATGCCAATGCCAGAATGGTTATCTCTAAAAGCGCATCATTTTTACTTGGGGAGTAGAAGGGGACTGGCGATCATTGTCTCACAGACATAAATAACAAGAACACTCACTTTTGTAGAGCGGTTACTACATGCCAAGCACTATTCTAAATGTTTTCATACCGAGGACCTTTTAATCTTCACATCAGCCTGATGAGGCATGTGCCATTCTCATCTCCATTTTATGGATTAGAAAATGAAAGCTTGGAGAGGTTAACTAGCTTTTCTAAGGTCACATAAGGTCAAACCCAGGTCGGCTCAATTCTGGAGCCCAGTTACTACTCAGTGTTTGACCCCATCTACCTGGGAAGTTTGTTGCCCCCAGTTGCATAGGCAAGACAGTCTACCACAATGAAAGCACAGACTGGAAGTCAGAAGTCCTAGGCTCAGGCTTCAGCCCATGCGCTAACTGCTGGGTGACCATGGTCACTGCAGTTGATGGTTATGGACCCAAGTACTCACATCTATCAAATGAGCGCACTGGGGACTTCCCTGGCGGTCCAGTGGTTAAGACTCCGCGCTTCCACTGCAGGGGGCACGGGTTCCATCCCTGGTCGTGCAAGTTCCACACGCCACCCAGTGAGCCAGTAAATAAATAAATAAAAATTTAAAACAACAAAAATGAGGGCATTGGACCAAAATCGCAGCTTCCCACTGTGTTCCTCAGAGTCCTGGTGCCCTCAGCAGCCTCACTAGGCTGCAGTGTCCCCTTTTTCTCTTTTGTACGTTGGGATTCCACTTGTTTGGATGGACAGGGGTGGGTGGGGACATGGAGAAGTTTCCATTGGAAAAAATGTAAAAAAGCAATAAATAAAAACAGGACAACGAATCAAATAACTACCTGGGTCCTCTGTAGGCCTGAGGTTTTTTGACACTTGAGACTATTTTTTCTTCCATTTTGAGGGGAGACACATGCTCCTGGTTTTTTTCCACTGATCAAAGATATTACTTTCCCACCCAGTGGAGTCACTCAGGTATTGGCACCGTGTTTGTGTTAGAAAGGGATAGTTGACTATTTCTTGGCCTGATGACTGTCACAAGTTTTAGGGGATGAGGGACTGAGACAAGTGAGTAGTTAGTTTCAATGCACATCTGATTTTTTACTGACTCTGCTGGGGAGATGTGGGCGGTGGATGCCCACACTTCCAAACAATTGTCTGACACCAGCTGGTGTCAATTCAACTCACTTCTCTCAGTCCTGACTTTCTACCTGGAGATAGCATCAGATTGCACAGGTTATGGGCTCAGTCCTACCAGACTGCCCCCATCTAATTAGATGCCAATTGCAGATTTATGTTGCTCAATTAATTTGCCTAGAGGGGCTCAGGGAACCACTTCACTTACTAGTTTATATATATATATGTTTATATATAAAGAATAGAACTCAGGAACAGCCAGATGGAAGAGATGAATGGGGAAAGGGGCATAGAGCTTCCATGCTTTTGGAGCTAGTCACTCTCCCAGCACCTCCATGTGTTCCCAACTCAGAAGCTCTCCTTACCAGTCCTTTTAGCTTTTTATGGAGGCTTCACCACATAGTCGTGATCAATTAAATCATTGGCCATGGGTGACTGAACTCAGCCTCCAACCCTTCGCCCCGCCCCGAGAGCTTGGGGGTGGGACTAAAAGTTCTAACCCTCTAATCACATGATTGGTTCTACTGGCAACCAACCTCCATCTTTGGGTGCTTTCCACAAGTTACCTCAGTAGCAGAACAGGAGACACCTTTATGCTCTCATCACTTAGGAAACTGCAAGGGTTTTAGTTCTGTGACAGAAACAGGGACAAAGACCAAATATGTATTTCTTACTGTATATCACAATATCACAGTCATTTTTCCCACAGAGAAGCCGACGCTTCAGAGCAGACACTCTTTAGACGGCTCCAAACTTGCGGAGAAGGTTGAAACCGCGCAGCCACTGTGGATAACGTTGGCACTGCAAAAGCAGAAGGGGTTTCGGGAGCAGCAAGCGACTCGAGAGGAGAGGAAGCAAGCCAGGGAGGCCAAACAGGCAGAAAAACTCTCCAAAGAAAACGTAAGTAGCTTAGTCTTCAGCTTTAACTTTGTTTTCCTGAGCTTGGCTCTCTTTTGTTGGCTGCGCTGCGCAGCTTGCGGGATCTTAGTTCCCCAGCCATGGACTGAACCTGGGCCCCAGCAGTGAAAGGGCCGAGTCCTCACCACTGGACCGCCAGGGAATTCCTGAGCTTGGCTCTTTTAGTTCACAGGATTTAAGACAACAATAACAAAACAAGGCTAGCTGAGAGTGGTGGAGAATACTTAGACAGTAGAGCAATAAATAAGCTGACCACTGTTAAGACAAGGAGGCATTTTAGGTTAGAAATTTGGTTTCCTTATGCTCTTAGGTTAGCCTGATTTGGCAGAATCCGCTCACACAGGTTATATGAGAAATACAAAAAGCATTTTATTTGAGCAGTGAGTCGAGAGGAAATTAGGAATCTTGCTCTGTGGCCCTGACGGTATAGTTAATTTGAAGGGCTCTTCTGGGAAAGTATGTAGCGTCCCCTCTTCGGGACATCTGCACTGAGCGGCTCCGTGGTTGAGCACACACTGCTCCCCCGTGCAGTCTGGCCCCTCCTCTGGGGCCAGAGAACGGGGGCTGGCCAATGGAAGCCTCCAAGGCCTTGCTTTGCATGGTCAGTCTCCCCCTGACTTTCTCTGTCCATCCAGGTCAGTGTCAGCCCGCAGCCTGGAAGCAGCAGTGTCAGCAGAGCTGGTTCCCTGCACAAGTCTACCACTCAGCCAGAAGAGAAGAGGCCAGAGACAGCAGCGTCCAGGCCCGAGCGCCGAGAACAGCTGAAAAAGGCCAACACTCTTCCTACATCTGTGACAGGTAGAGAACAGGTCCATTTCTATTTAACCGTACTTAAAGGTTTTTCTTCTTAGGGTGTGTTTTATTTCCTCTAGCGTCATAACTAGCACAGCATTTTAGGCATTTCAGAGCACAAGCTGTCTCACAACCCCATTCATCAACTCTGACACTGATAAAGCTCGTCTGATAAAGATCATCAGAAACTCACCCACTATCAGTGGGGTGATGATAAACTTTTAACAATCAGCTCTTCAGGGAGTGGAGAGACCTCTGATTTGTAGTATTTGCTGTGGTGTAAATACTCCCAACCATGGCTAATTTCAAGCTACTAATGTGATATCAAGTGACTCGTTAAATTCCTGAACCTTTAACAAGGTGATATGAGCCCTCTCCAACTCCACTGCCTGTAGTCCAACAAAATTAGGTTTATTAACTTCCTGCAGCAAGGAAGACTGCACACCATAAGAACCTTCTAAACAAAACAAGAGATAAGATTATATTAGAATTCAGGGGAAAGGGTGAATTTTAGGTAAAATTTAAATGAAGCAGTGACTCAAAGCAAAGTAGTTGATATCAAGCCTGAGCTGAAAAGTGGACTCAGGAGCCTGTTTCCTTTGACACCACAAACTTAAGGTAAATGTGAGGAAGCTGTGTTGGCAAACCCCTACCTGGAGCTGTGCTCCAGTTGGAAATGCAAATTGTTTCTCTGAATCATGGTCATCCAACTGGCTCAGATGCTCCGGGCAAAAGTGGGGTGGTCCCTGGTCCCTTCTCACTGATGTGATTTCAGACAGCAAATTTCTGACCCAGGTGTGACTTTACAGAGCAAAGTTGTTGTGCTCTAAGTCCTTGATGTTAATTAACAACAGCAGTGTTTATATGTTCATGACACATAGGAGACACATGCACATTAAAAAAAAAAACTCTTTATTCTGTTAAAAGATAAAATGATCCAATAATGTTTGTAACTATTTCTGTGTTACATATCACTTGGAGGATGGAGAGTGAAAGAACTTCCTCTCGGGTTATTAGGGCATCTGTTTTCCCACTAGGCAGCCCTGTTCCTCAGAGGACACCCAGCTTCTGGATCCAAGATATTTTTATGCCTTGGATACCTGCTAGCTGAGGTCTGGAAATGTAAAGAGGTCTCACTATTAAAGCTATATTTACTATTTGGTGAGGAGAAAAGAACTTTATATTTGAAAACCACTTTGGAGCACTTTCTCAAGAACCTCCAAGGGCATTATTTCATTTGATCTTATACCCAGGAATTAAGGATTCTAAACATCATACTGGTGTGTGTCAAGAGAGAACTCTTGCAGAATAGTGAAAGCTCCAAAGTCAAAGAGATCAACCTCTGTCTGCCTGATTTCTTAGAGCACCAAAGGGTTAATGCAATTCAGAACTGGTTCCACCACACAAAGCCTCACCACACAAAGGAACGCTCACCACACAAAGCCTCTAAGGTCTGATAAATAGTGATAGCATGCAAAGGAATTGTTAGAGGAGTCTGAGTGATAAGAGCTGGCAGGATCCATGGGCCTCAGAGGGAGGAGGGACCCAGGGCATGCTTGGTAGAGGAGGTAGCTTTTAACCTCACCAGCTAACAGGTTCAAACTTCAAACTACTTGGTTTAAGCTTTTTCTTCATGAAATTGACTGGTTGTATGCCTAGAATCACAGAATTTACCTCTTATTATTACACAGGCATAGCTTCTGTGCACAGAGAAAATTAGGTTTCTAGAAATTCTCTGAAATTAGAAGCGACTGCACTGTGATCACCGTAATTCTGTATGTAACAGTTATGATCACGTAGCTTTCTTTCTTTAATTCTTCTCGCCAAACATACCCAGTGTTTCACTGGGTTTTCCTTTCTGAATCTCATACTTCTGCTAAATCAAAATGTGGCTCTGACTTATTCCTTTCTCCTTTTCCTTCAAAATGCAATCTAGTGGAGATCTCTGATTCGGCTCCCCCAGCACCACTGGTGAAAGAAGTCACAAAGAGATTCTCTACCCCAGACGCTGCCCCCGTGTCAACAGAACCAGCCTGGCTGGCTTTGGCCAAAAGGAAAGCCAAGGCCTGGAGCGACTGTCCACAGATTATTAAGTAAAGAGTGACTCTTATCCATTCCTACTGCCAGTTATTGGCTCTTCTCTTGCCCTTTTTATTTATTTATTTTTTATATGAGGTAAAGAAAGAAACGAAGCTAGGGGAAAGCAGCATGTTTTATAGGCTCTAAAATAATGTTCAGAAACTGAACTGGTGGTGTTCCTTGTAAAGAGTGTATTTGCACAGCCCTAGGTCCTGGAGCCTTGAGGTCCTCCTAATTCTAAAGAGAAAATTCTGTCCTAGGGACCACATGAAGCAAAAGCTCCAGACTGAGAACTTCTCACGAGCGCCTGCCACACCCATTCCATGGCCCTTCCACACACATACACCCACATACCATTCAGAAGATGTACTTTTGCCAATCTTTGTAATAGTTTTCTTGATTCTGTACTCCTGTTTCTTTGTTCCAAACCATTTACCATGTGCTTGGGGATTTCTACCCTTTTCTATAGTAACAGTGAAAGGATCTTATATAAACAAGAGTGCCCATTCGCCTGAATGCAGTGAGTAACTGGGAATTGCAAGTAAAAGTCTGGCTCCCAACTCTTTGCCCATGTCTGCTTCTCATGATTTTGCCCCAACAGGAAACTGTAACACAGACAGCGAGTCCATTGACTCTTCTACCGCACTGTTGAGCTACAGGCCCCATTATACCACAACTCTCCTCAAGGACACGTTAACCATTTGGCCCAGCTGGCTCCTAGGGAACATTTTTATTTAAAATAAATAATGATTTAAAAAAAAAAAAAAAAAGAAGCTACAAATTCTCTGTCTCTGAGAATCCCCGTCTAGTGCAGTTGTTCTTAAGAAGTTCAGGCTCCCTCCCAGACCTACTCAATCATCAGAGATCCTGTGAGGATGGGGCCAGATGTGTATATTCTGGTAAAAACCCTTCAGATGACTTCCAGTATATCACAGAGGTTGAGAAGTGTGGGACACACTGCTTCTAGTGTAATCTAGTTTTTAAAACTCTGAAGGGGTTCATTTCACCCAAAGCAGCAAAGGTGAGACAGGAAAGATAATAAAACAACCCCCCAAACCAGCCATTTATTACAGGGTATAAGAGTCTATTGACATTACATGTCTCTGAAAATCTTTTAAATCTTTAGGTAAAGTTAACAGTAAGACAAGATTTGAAGCCTTTGTATTAAAGGACTTCCTGTGGGAAGTTTCTTTCTTTACCATAATCAAGTAATTCATATTTAGAGTCAAATGTTCAATAGCATTTATAATGTAGAGCATTCACCTTGCTAGCTTTAAAAACATCTCAGAGTTTTAAGTGGCCTTGTTGTTACACACGTGATTAAAAAAAGGACTTGGCAATTTAAAAGCCACATATATTCACTTTTATTTCCCTAAATTTGCTTTACATGACACACAGAAATACGGCAAACCCACACATTGCTGGTACTAACCTACATTTCGTGGTGTTGGCATATTACCTTTTTCTTCAATCCTGACTTCAAAATCTAAGTACAAATCCTTTGCCTAGTACAGCAGGGGAAGGAATTACATCCTTTTTTCCTCTCCTACAAAAACACATTAGTATTTTATTAGTATCATTTTCCTCTATGCTTACTCAGTAGATAGTGTGCTGTTACACTATTATGTACCTTAAAGAAAGGATGACAGCAAAGTTATTTACCATATACAAGGCATTTTCTTTCTGGAAACGATGGCTCAGCCTCATGGTAGCAGCTGGCATGTGTGGTGAAGTGGATAGTTGTACTTTTGCAAGTTGGAGTTAATATTATATATAGTGGACCTTCAGACTGTCAAGAATCAATGGAACGTTAATTTTTTTTTATGGCTATGAGAAGCAATTAATATTCCACTGCATGTTTTCCACAGTGATGTTCATTTCTAAATCAAATATGTAGACATTTGTTAGTTTCAATGATTTCCTCACTAATATAACACTTCTTAATAGGAATCTTTCCACCTAGAGCCCTAGAATTATACTGCTACATTAAATCTTCTACATTGTCTTTTTCTGTCATCCTGTCAGCTTTGAATAATATCACAGTAATGGCAGAGAACAGGTGCATAAATCAGATCATTAACAAAGAATGGTAGACAAGTCAACTCTGTACTGGCTTACCTACCACTGATCCCATACAGAGGAGGAGAAATACCTCAGTTAAAAAATTTCCATCAAAATCTTTTTAAGAGTATACTGAGGAAAGTATACTGGAAGTAAGTCATAACACTTACTTCCAACAACTTCTAAAGGCTACATGTTTAATATTTCATGTAAAAATTACTCCTACTTTGCACTAAATACCAATGAAGTGTTATTTTGCTTTAGTTGTGTTGCAGTCTTTTCTGATCAACAAACTATGGGGGAAGTTCTATAAAGCATATAAAAAATTCAAGACTTAAAAGAAATGAATGATTGCTAGTTAAATACACAAGCTTTTTTTTTTTTTTTAATTTAAACAAACATACACTTCTCCTGGCAATATTATAGATGATTAACCTCTGTTCATAAGACATATTACAAAACTAGAGTTTTTTCCTTTACTTTTTTAATTTTTCAAGTGCAATTGTTTCTTATACATTAATTACTATTAAATTATCATTTTAGCCAGTTATTAGCAAATTGTAATATGTATTCATTGTCTCTTCTTGTGATGTTTAGTTTTAATTGCTTATTTTAAAGCAGAAACATTAGAGTTACAAGTGTCTTGCAATATTTTTATCAACAATAAAATGAAGTAGAGACTTAACAATAAAAATACCTTAGTGTGATTTTATTATTATTTTGAGATTTTGGTTGTATAAAGTTTTAATGTAAAATGTCCATTATTGAAGGAAAAAGATCTTTCAATAAAAAATACCCACAAGATCTTCGGCACTGATGGAATTTCAAGCTGAAGTTTTTACTGATTTCAATGACCATCTATAGAAAGCTTGTATTTATACAAAGCTTTTGTTGAGAAAGAAAAATTTCAAGGCATTTTATATGGCACCTTATTATACTTTTAACTAGATGTTTTTGGAGAAAAATAATGAGTAGGGACAAATAAAATGTTTATCTCAATCCTAAATTGGAATTGAATGGTCTGGCATCTCAGACAAAATGATCCTACAACCTCTTTACTCAAAGCACGGGCCATGGAACAACAGCATGGGCACAAGCCGAGAGCATGTGAGAAATGCAGCTTAGGGCCGCAGACCAGACCTACTGACTCACGAGGCCAGACAAGGGCAAAGTGAGTGACGTGAGCAAGGCACTTGCCTCGGGTGCTAAAAAACCAAGTAATCAAGAGAAATGCTATTTTAATGCAATATTTTAAAAATCAAGGTTAACGCAAATTCCATAATGAACAAATATCAAAATTTTAAATAAAGACAGGGTATTACTGATTTTTCCTTTTGCCTCAGTCTCCAGTGTGGCTAAGCCAAGCCCCCCTCCTTCCAGCCCTCTCAATTGGAATGTGCATTTAGCAAGAGCTCCAGGTGGTTAATACATTAAAGATGAATCCGCACGGGTCTAAAACCTAGCAGAAGATATGTTCTTTTGGGCCACCCATGGCCTCAATCCCCTTTCTGTGTTTGTGGAAATCTCTACCTTGTGGGTCTTGGTAGAGGGCAGCACTCACCTCCTACCACAGTTGAAATGCCTGTTAGGTGCCTTCCTATACTCTCTCGTGGGCATAACAACATGTTTCACTTCAAATTGGAAGGGACTGTGGTTTGGGAGCAACTGACCAAAAGATGGGGGCACTGTGAGGAAGTCTGGCAGTGGTAGGAAACAGTGTCCAGCGTTAGTGGGGTCAGCCATAAGGTAATAAGCATTTAGAGCCTCAAGGACAGCAGCTATCTTCTGGCCAAAATGATATGATTTCAGGCATTCATTGTTTCTGGCTGTATATAGCTCTAGCCCTCTTTGTAATTCTGCAAGAGACTCAATATTCTTTTAAAAATTCATTCTGGAGGGACTGGCCAAGACAGTGGAATAGAAAGATGCTGAGCTCACCTTCTTCCATGGGCACACCAAAATCACAGCTATTTGCAGAATAACCTTTGATGAAAAAGACCAGAACCTTCCAGAAAAGATCTTCTACAACTACAGACATAAAGAAGGAAACACAACAAGATGGGTAGAAGGGTAGGATCTGTGATATAGTCAAGTCCCATACCCCTGGAAGGAAGACCCAAATATAGGAGAATAACTACATTGCAGAGGTTCTCCCAAAGCACTCTGAGGTCTGAGCCCCACATTGGGCTCCCCAGCCCAGGGGTCCTGTACCAGGAAGACAAGCCTCCAGAGCATTTTGCTTTGAAGGCTAGTAAGGTTTACTTTCAGGAGTCCCAGAGGGCTGGGGGAAAGAAAGACTTCACTCTTAAAGGGCACACACAAAATCTCACATACTCCAGGACCCAGGGCAAAAGCAGTCATTTGATAGAAGCCTGGGTTAGACCTACCTGCTGATCTTGGAGAGTCTTCTAAAGAGGCAGGAGGCAGCTGCAGCTCACCCTGGGGACATAGACACTGGTGGCAGCCATTCTTGGGAGTTCCTTCTACCACATGGACATTGGTGTTGGCAAAGGCCATTGTCGAATCCTCCCTCTGGTTTTTAGCCCCAAGACCCAGCCCTGCCCTGGCAGTGCTGTCCAGGCAGCCAGTTCTAGCCTCTGGACCAGCCTCAGCCACCAGGGGGCAGACACCAGATGCAAGAAAACCACAATCCCACAGGCTGCAGACCCATCCAGCCCATCAGTAGGCCAGACCATGTCCTGGGACTATCTGGGCCTGGGTCCTGGCCCTAGCCACTAGCAGGCCAACATAAGCTCTGGGACATCCCAAACCCCATACCCAACCGTGTCAGGAACAGCCCCTCCCCCTTCGCCCCAGCAATCTGACAACAGATCTGGGACCATTGGCCTTGCATCCAGACTCCAGGACCTGGCTCTGCCTACCAGAAGACCAGCACTAACCCCAGGACTTTGCTTCACCCACCATAGGATGGGCAACAGCCCTGGTGTTTTCTAGAC